ATCAAAAACTGGGGACGATCGCAGGTGCTCCGGAAGGGTACATAGATCCTGCTCCACACGTGCAAACTTTTCTATTAAATTTGTGCTGAATCTTTTGCTTTCAAAGTTAAAACAATTGAAAACCTATATAAATGTTATTTATAAAGTTTATATTATTACAAAGAAGCGTTTCAATTGCAGACTAACGTATTCATTTAATTCCGAAAGATAAAAGTGTGTTAGGAAATAAATGATCATCAGCTTCTGAACTAAACAGACAAAAACGCAACCCGCGAGGTCTGATAAAAAATTTAATATAACGTTTACTCTTTAACGAAGAAACTGTTTTATTCGAAAACTTCAGCATACCAGGAGAATATTATTATCAGTTCAAATTTAACAACAGCGGATGCGATTTTTGACAATTGATATGTCTTTAGTGATGTTCAGGGCAGAACATTATGAATATCCAAGAAAATAACAAACGTTGAAAGTCTCATAAAACAACAAATGACCAAAAGTATAGCTAAATCAGAGGGAAATATTTTTTTAAATTTAAAATGGTTTCTTGAATTATATAACAACAATTTAAATTAACAATTTGCGTGTGTTCATGCCTATCCCGAAGTACTGGATACTGGGCTAATGATGCCCTCGTGGACTTCTAGTCCAGCAGCAGAAGTATCATCGATCAAATGGTAATATCATATAATAGCATAAACGGTACCTAATCATGCTAATGTACCGCACCAAATGAGCATAATTGCAATTAATGTTTCTTCTGTGATGTACAGTGTCAACAAATATGAACATCCAAAACTTATATAAATGTCTAAGATCTGATAAAATAAATAGATAATAAAAAAATAAATCCACATTGAAGAAAGAATCAGGGTTATGCATGAGGAAAATACGTTTCTCAATTGAAAATGATTTTTATATCAGCAAATAAATAAAATAACAACGTATTTCTATGCCGTCAAGAACATGAAGAAGTATTGTCTATTTGACTAGTAATACTCCGAAGACTAACAGTTCACACTAACAGAGGTATTGAGAATATAAGAATATCATCATTAAAGCGCATAATCTATAAATAAATGGACACATTTTCTGTAAACCGATAGTTGTACTCATAACCTATATACATTAATTGAGACCTTCGTGAAAAAATACAGGAAATTTTGTATGCTATTTATATACATCCACAGTCTTATTTGTCATATCCTATGTTACGACACAAGTAACTTGACGTGGGATGCTGCATCTTTATGACGAATAATAGATTTTTAAAAGCGTTCTACTTAAATCGTTAACTTGTATAACAAATAAGTAATTACTATTTTAAATGTATCATTTTATTTTTTGATTTTTTTAATACACAAAATAACAAGTTACATGAAGTGGAAGCATGTAACAAAATTAAATAGTACATGACTTTTACATCAATTATTGATTGAAGATATGAATGATAGAGTCATATTTCTTTAATGAAAAATGTTGTATAAAACAACTTGATAATTATAATTTTCGCAGCGATTGAAAGCTTTACTCAGACTTTCATTGATTTTCGGTTTCCTTTGCGCTGCTGCATCTAATGGCAAATTCCTAACCTCTTGTATTATGAATTTGTCTAAATTGTTTATCTCTTTGCCAAAGAATATACCTACCGATGATTTAGTTAGGTTTTTGGATATTCAGGTAAGGTTTTCTATATCTGCGAACTGTTTTGATTTTTCTGGTTCTTTGATAAATATCAACACGGCGCGTATTTGAATATGAGGGTCATTTGCATTTCACATTTGAAACCTAAGGCGCATGTATGCAGTCAATGGAACAATCAGTACTCATACATGTATGTATTATGGATATTATGAAAACAAATGGGCTCCTATTCGAATAAGGAGGACTGTGCATAGGGAATAAGCATTAGCTTTAACTAATCATGGTTTGCTTTATAGAGGCAATCATAATCACCTATAAAATTACATTCATATGTTGTCTGTTAGTTAATGGCGTCTTAATACACAGTTTTGAAGTGTTGAGTCGAAATAGTTCCACAGTTAGATATTCGGCTATTTCATTTGAGAATTCCCTGATTAATTAGCTGGATGTAGTCAGGCCAACAATATTTGCTCTAATGTCGTTGTAAATAAGGCAATTTATATGTAAGATGGTAATCATATAGCACTTAATACACGTAGTCTCACAGTTTTAAAGTGTTTAACATGTATTTATCTTTCAAATCTATTTTTGTTCATAGTTTATGATTTATAGATTTTTGTACCATCACAATTTGTATTTCTTGGAAGTATGGAGTTTGACCAAAGATATCTGGATGAGATCATTTGATTTTCATATAAAGATTTTATCAATTAATTAAAAGACCAAATTTTTGTTTGTAACTGAGCGTGTTTTGGCAAATTTGTGCATCAATCAGGGACGACATATAACGTCAGATACCAATCATTATAATAGCAACTAATCGAGATTTGTTTTAATGAATCAAACTTCACGGTTGTTCAGCATATCGTTACAATATCACCTTTAAAAAATATGTTGTGTTATATTACCAATGTAGGTTTATTTTGTCGGGTTGTTGTCTCTTCTACACATTTCCCATTTCCATTCTCAATTAGTATATTAAGTTGACAATAGAAGGTGATGATATTGTGTCATTGCCAATGATTCTACCAACTAAAAAAAATGTGAATAAATACTGGTCACCGTATTCTTTTCAACTGCAAATAAAACCCATATTGTGTACTAAAAAGGAGGCTACGACAATTCAAACATAATGCGACTCAGATATACCATAATTATCAATCAACGCATTACGGTGTATGTTAAAATTTCTAAAAGATGACATCAACTTGACCACTTGAAAGCTTTGATTCAATGGTTTTCTTGTAAGCAACAACCCCCCGTGAAGGAAATCATGGCCAAACACTCATACTCTGGAATATGTTATTAATTGAGAGACATATACCCCATCTGGAATGTTACATAGAAATGGAAGGTTAGAAAGTGAAAATCTGTCATCATCTCTTTTGTCAACAAAATTTGTTTTCAGCCAACCTTCATTGTCAATTTCTAGATATAAGTCAAGATATAATGCAGACTTAACTGTATCTTTGGTATTATTTATTTTAAGATCGATGAGATAGATGCGTTCATCATAGTCATTATTGTTATATTCATTTAGTGAGATGCCATCATTTATACTAGTTAACAAAAGAAACGATACAACACTTTTATCAAAAATAAAATTTTACCGTTCGGTAGAAAACAATAAAAAATAGATAAAATAAGTATTTTGTTACGTTCTATTCGAAGCAGTAACAAGAAATAACGTCCCAGACAGTTCCTGCACCAAATACGGACGGATCAAAGTCATTATCCGGAATTTCAGCTTGCGGAATTTAATAGCGAGTATGACCGCCTTTTGTAGCTACCACAGCTTCACACCTAAGACGCAGAGATCAAAGTCATAATGTTGACTTGTGATATTGTTCCACTCCTGTATGAGAGCTAAACGCAAACCTTGTAGCGTTCCGTTGGATTTTGCCTTCTCGAACACGTCTGCCAAGTTGATCCCATAAATGTTCTATAGGAGAAAGATCCGGTGGTAATGCTGGCCATGGGTTTGTTCAAGATACTAGTAGTCGATACAAATCTATGCCACGTGACATTTAGCGTTATCCTGTTGAAACACATGGGTGAAAACGCGTTTTCAAATAAAAGGCACAACAATAGGGCCAGGAATTTCGTCTCTATATCTCAAAGCGGTCAAGTATCATCAACGATTTTTAACTGATTGCGTCCGTTACGACATATTCAACCTTATACCATCACACTTCCGCCTCCAAGGGTCCGAAAAACGTTCACCTTGCCAACGGTTTACTCTCATGCGTCCATCACTGAAACGGAGAGCAAATCGGGACTCATCTGTAAACACGATATGCTGCCAGGTGTGTAACCTCCAACGTCGTCTAGCACGAGCCCATTCAAGTCTTTCAGCCCTATGACGCTGTTTAAAGAGCAGCACTTTCAGGAAACGTCTTTGACGCAATCGATGCACTCTGAGTCTTCGACAAACTGTTTTGTTTTAAAAATTCCCGATGAAGTTAAGAACGTTCCATCTTGAAGAAATTAATGGGAAGCACATAATGTATAAACTATTTTGTTTACCTTAATGTTAATTTCATTTTTATGGCCATGACTTTTCTTTACTGTTTTTTATTTATTCACTTAATGACTAAATTATGATTTTTATTGATTTATGAATATTCAGAGTGGAAACTATATTTAAGATAGGGAATATCAAGGTATTTTTAAGGTAATAAAAAATAAAAGATAAAGTACATTGGCAAATAAACATTTTCCGACAACAGACTTTTCCCGTGCATGATCTTAATACATTATACATGGAATTTTATGCGACTGTCATACAAGTGAGAGGTTTAGCTAGTTATAAAACCAGGTTTAATCCACCATTTTCTACATATTGAAATGCCTGCACCAAGTCAGGAATATTACAGTTGTTTTCCATTAGTTTGATGTATTTGAGCTTTTGATTTTGCCATTTGATAAGGGACTTTCCGTTTTGAATTTTCCTTTTGAGTTCGGTATTTTTGTTTTATTTTTACTTTTTATATAAATTAGAAATTCTAGTTTTTAGTTCTTTAAAGGCAAATTCATTGATATTTTCTGTAAACCGATTTGTCGTACATATGACCTATAAATTAAGTAATTGAAAAAAGACTGTGATGTTCAATATATAGATCGAATATTAAATAAAAAAATGCTTTTATTGTGTACATTGTAATGTTTGATAAAAAAGTTTTAATTCAGCATTTTATTGATATGTCTTTTTGTGAGACTTTTCATTATTGAAAGCATATACGACCTATAACTAAAAATCCCGTTTGCTAAAAATAGACTTCCACAAATTGTATTTATCATATCCTGACAAATCATTATGTTACGCAAAAGATCATCATAATAAAACTGACGTAGAAATCTACATGGTTATTACGTATTCTTGCACTATACATACAACATTACAATTGAAACCTTGTGGAAGTTTTAATCTTGAAATTTGGAAATAAAATGCATGTAATCTGTCCTTGTTTTAAGGAATATTTATACTTTCGTTTCGTGTAGATAGACGTGATTTTCGATAATCAATTTAAATGGCAGGGTCACCAGCGGAACAACAATTGATGCCCCTCAATGATGATGCTAATGATGTGAATGTAGCTGGCTTAAATCATGAAGTTAATGTTGAGACAACGAAATGTATGGGATACTGCAACCGACGTTTTACATGGATATTTGAGACTGGACCTAACAAAACTAAAGTCTTGATAATCTACGCTTTTATTTCTATCATAGTGATATTGGTATTACTAAGTGTCGTAGCTCATAAAAACATAGATAACAATTCACCCTATTCGGTAAGTTACTTTTCATAATAACTGCCTTCATATCTATGACAATTTTTATTTATTCGTCTTAACGAAAAAATCTTATGCATAAAAATCTTGAAGACATTTTATCTGAAAAATAACTGCGGAGGAATAATCAACTGAGACTGATATATTTTCAAAATACATATTAAACGCACTCATACGATTAAAGTAATGAATGTATGATGTATAAATCAAACCTGTGTATACTACTGTATATTTATTGTTGTGATTATTACAGATGACAGACAACATGGACAATGAATTCCTGAAACTACCATGTAAAGTCATTGATCCAGCCCAATATCCACCAGTACAGAAAGAAAGTGACGACACATGCTTCTACACAAAAGAAAATATAACAAAGATATTGAATGCCACAAGAAAATCATTATTTAAGGTAAGCTTTAACAATTTATTATTTCTTAAGAAGTAATTGAGTAAAATGAAAAGGTCAGCATTTATATTATACATGTATCTAAAATATCGATTTCTACGACGAAATTAGTGACAAGCAATCCAACGACAAGAACCTTTCGAAAGTACTAGGGTTTATTCGCTGAGATTCATATTTATATCGATATACCAAATTAGGACATACGGATTTTGTGTGTTAATCATTTATTTTCTGTTTTTACATTTTGTATATTAAGTACAAAACTTTTATTACATAGCTCTTAGTAGTTCATATGCATAGAGACTTCCGGACTCTTGAAATTCATCATAACCTTGCTATTTAAAGATCAGACCTATAAGACGAACATGCATTTTAAATACATGAAATAGGCTATGGACTATCTGGTAAAAGGGAGATAATCAAATTTGAATCACGTTTGAATATGAATCACGTTCCATCGTCTTTACATGTTGAACTTAAATGTAAAGTTGAGAATGGAAATGGGGAATATGTCAGAGACAACAACCCGACCAAAGAGCAGAAAACAGCCGAAGGCCACCAATCGGTCTTCAACACAGCGAGAAAATCCCGAACCCGGAGGCGGGCTTCAGCTGGCCCCTAAATAAAAATGTGTACTAGTTCAGTGAAAATGGACGTCATACTAAACTCCAAAACATATAAGTGAACTAAAATTAAAAAACATACAAGACTAACAACGGCCAGAGGCTCCTGAATTGGGACAGGCGCAAAAATGCGGCGGGGTTAAACATGTTTTGTGAGATCTCAACTCTCCCCTATACCTCTTTGATAAAAAGACAATGCAATTTCCCATAGGATCTCCTTTTACGACTTGAACTGCACTACTTTTACTATAAAGTTTCATAAAATGTTATATGCTATGACGGGAAAATCTAAAAATAAAAAAAGTACTCTAATTTTTCAAAATTAAGTATTGTGCGGCATTTATCAACATTTATCTTCCCCGGCTTAATCCTTAGAATTAGAGCTGATGATAAAATTCTGTAGTACCCATCATTTTAGTTTGGGACTTCCAGACAATATATTTTACCGCTACCCAACTGTTTTTATACTGTTAAGTTACCAAATATCTATGAGATAACACATGGAGATAGAAGGTAAAGAAAACAAAGTATTTATGAGTAGCAAGTATTTCTCTAGAAGGGGTTTTTGGTTTCTGAATCACCTATATTTACCAAATGCAACCTACAAATGCATTATATGTATGCCTAATAAGTAAGAGACTAAGGTCTCACGTCGAAAGTCGTTATTGACGAGTGATCCCTTCGACTGTTTCTTGTTATCTATTCATTTCATGTGTTATGTTATTTGTACAACTATCATTGTACTTCACAATAACATTGTATTTTTTCGAAAAATTAAATTAGATCTTACTGCTACACCTAAATGATATTTTTTTCATCTTAAGACATTGCGCATGTTTAAACCTGGTGTAAGCATAGGGTAATTTAACTGGCCAGAATAGCTATTCGTTTTGGACGACATTTGCACTGTATACCCCGCCATATATCGTAATGATGAGGATAATTATTTATTTTTCCATTCGCCTTTGTTCCGTTCATCAATTTAATGTTATGAAAAAAATCATGTCCAATTTCAATGTAAAGGTAAGTTGGCCAATACGCAGTATATATTGCTTTTAGCTCTTAAAATAAACATGCTAAGGAAAATTGTGACGAAAAAGGAGGTAACTTAAAATTACGAAGTTTTATAAGTAACAGGATGGTTGACATAGAATTTCAAATTGATATCACCATTCGACTTGAATTTTATAGACGATACGACTACGAAATATTAAGCCATATCGACCTTGTTGAACAGACAATTGCCATCCATTTACTTGTATAAGTTTTATTAAGGCTTTTAATTAAAGAATGCTAAATATCTATTCATGTAACAACGCGGCATTTTGTTTTGAATTGCTAAGGAATATATCTAACAGGTTTACATTTTGTCATGTCAAGACATTTACTATATATGGTATAAATTTTGCTCATTGTTGAAGGCAATAAAACGAAATATAGTTGCTTACGTGCACGTGGTTTTTGGTGTCTGGTAGATAGTTGCCTCAGTGGCAATGATACATCTTCATCTTCTTCAACGTAAACATTGCATGTCCATAATTTCGTAGTTCTGACATCGATATTTCTAAAGCATGAAATGGTTTTGATAAAATCCACGAAAGATTTATGTGTAAAGTTTGCAGTTGGTTGTTAAACAAAAATTCGAGATTTGGAACAGTACAAAGAGAGGCGAAAATACCAACGGGACATTCAAACTCATAAGTCGAAAAAAAAGCTGACAACGCCATGGCTAAAAAGAAAAAAAAAAACAAACAGAAAAACAACAGTACACAAAACACAACATAGAAAACTAAAGACTGACCAACACGAACTCCACCAAAACTGGGGCTGATCTCAGGTGCTTTGGAAGGGTAAGCAGATCATGCTCCACAAATGCATATGAACAGATTTTTATTTTAAAACTAATTTAGTCATCTCTTTACACCTGTTCATATAGCGATTTTTATTGTTATTTATTTAATAAGTCTTTGATATAATGAATATGATTTTATAAATACCCATGTACATTTATACAAATTTCAGAAACCCTGCATGTGTAATCATACAACTCATTGAAAGGGCACTGGACGGTTATGTATAGGTTACCAAAACGGGAAACGCTCAAAAGATGTTTAGTAATGACCATACAGTATTATCCTTCATTATATATTGTATTTTGTGGATAATTTTGATACAACGATCACATTTTCCATTTGATTACGCATTTGTAAACCCATTCTGATTTAAAATGTTTTATTATTGTATTTTAACAGTTCTAAATGGTTACTTATGTGTTCAGAAAAAACACTATAAATATGTGTATGCTTTTTTGCATGTTTTGTTTTATTTTTAAAAGACACTATTATTTCTGTACTAAATATGTATAAATCACAAAATGGTTAGTTCATGTCATAAAGGTTTCAAGTGAATATGTAGCTATTATAATTCATTAAAATCACAAATCACAATATCTGACACTTTTTCATTCGTATGATATGTATCAGACTATGTAAATTGCTGCATTTGTGTTATAATGCATATATATTTAAATTTCATGCATTGCCAATCTAATCCAATATATATAGGGACTCTGTGGGATTTTTTCAAATGAAATAAATACACAAAAAGCATTTATTATTTGAAAGATATATGTCGTAGAAATATAATAGGACAAGAGTTTTCATTTTCATATTTGACCTTTGACCCCAAGCATTTGCCTGATATTCATGAATATATACATTTTTTCTGCCAACATTCCAATTTACAATAGAGACAGTCACACTTAAAAACTTAGTAATATTACTACCGCAGCACGCGTCATTCACAAACTGAGCTGAAAGGATGCAATAACTAAAGTATTTTTATAGCTTATTATATTAGTACATGAAAATCTTGTTTCGTACAGGAAAATACGGGAAGCTGTACTAGTTAGCACAAAACATTAAAAAACGAAATTTGCAAATTTTTGCGAAAATGTTAACTTCCATGTACTATTTTGATAAATATCATTTTTTTTAAGTATATCAAGTGTTTAATAAGGCTACCATTGTTGAATGCAGAAGTTTGTGGGTCCGGGGGAAGAACTGCCTCCCTCTTTTTACCAGTTTTGTAATATGATAAAATAAAAGAAAATTAATTTCAATCCACCTTTCCATGTGAAACCCGGCCTCTACATCAACCTTGAAGATTTCTAGATTTCAGGCAGTAATAATATATTAAGCATGAACAATCATAACTTGAAGCAAAGTTGTGTCTTCCTTTTGAAGCTTTTGAGTTTGCAGTAAATATGAAAAACAAATTATGTGCATAATAAATATGATACGTGCCTTGATTTGTGTTTTTAATTTTTATTTCTAATTTTTGTTGTGGGTACGCTGCATTATTATCGCTGTATACATCTCCTTTTATTTATGAGCCAGATGATTGTGGATAGATAGTTTGTTTCGTGTCCAGTGGCAAATATTTCAGGCATTTTAGGACGTGAACAAAATATAAATATAGATGCAATAGGTATAGGTAAAAGGGATTGACCGGGAAAAAGTGTTAATTTGAACAGCCACCAGCTGAAAATGTGGGTATAATTGATAAGGACAGAAATTTTATCCTTTGCAACAGGCTACTTACGGACCCATAAAAGAGTTATTTCAAGGGTTCTACAGGGAGTGTAGAACTCTCTACACACGAGACTTCAGATTTCGTCCCTATTCTGACCGGACGTGGCTGCGTATTTAAACATCCCAAATAGCCAAACGGATGCCCCACATGGTGAGGGTTTTGATGCCGGTCGGAAGAAAGTCATACTTCTATACCCCCAGCCACTTTTGGCCCGGGGTTCCATGAAGACGACATGCTACAATAAATTTCTTGTTTGTACAGAAAATGAAAATTTCACAGAGCTGTATATACGTAATACATACATGTACAACCAATCTTTCATACACTTAGTTCAAAATATGGACTTAAAATATGAACAATTTCATTACATGTTATGAATTAATCTAATTCAATATGGCCATGCAGTAATATGTTCAGATATTATTATGTTGGTATCTTCTGATGAAAAAGGTAGAGCTTGATTTCCCAGAGTACAAATGTGTATTGGACACGCGGGACATTTTAAATGAGTCTTCATCATTACTAAAATTTAGAGAATGATATTATCTTGTGTATACTTTGAAGGTCTAACCACATCATTATGACATTTCTTCGAAAACATGTCACCAAATTATGGTTCATTACTGCAACTTATGTAGATTGTTCCAAATATGCACATGTATCACAAAATTGAATAAGAATAGCATACTTCACCAAACCAAAACTGTTTTGCAAGTAAAGCTATTTTTTTTGTATTAATCAAAGTTATTTCAGGATGTCTTTTAATGCAAAATTTATAATATAAATTATAATATTTTGCTGCGGATATTGTTTTAAAACTGTCTCCACCAACAATATATAGCACTGAAAAATCTTTTGGATTATATACAGGTGTAAACATTTTTGTTAAAATCTTTAATATGTATTATTTAAGACTCTAGAATACAAAAATTACAATAAAACTTTCGGATGTGTAACCTCCTAGCGATAGAACTCGTTGAATAATAAAGTGTTAACTTTTTTTAAATTTTCAATCAAAATATTACAATGCATGTATTTGAATAAATCTGTGTGTTTGTGGATGAAAACGCCAACTATTTCACATAAGGGAGTCAAACCAGTTAAGAAACGATTCTTCATCTGTAGATTGATCTTTATACATGAAGCGATATGTGGTTTATTGATTATGCTCGGCTAAATGTCCAGTGGCAAGTATTTCATATATGCTCAGGTAGATAGCAAATAAAATTATTCATTTATTTGTGGTCTTCAAAATAGACGATCGCGGGATGAAAGACATAAACTTTAGATTTAATTCGGGACTGTTATGTATGGATTTGCCTTAGATTTTAAATATATACATGCAACACTTTGACATACGATTGATTCAAATTAGTGCAGCAATTTTGCAATTTCGAAATTAACGCACTCCATAAACGGGGCATCAAACTTATAAATTGACATAATGTTGCTTCGTATTTATGCTTTCGATATCCAAAAACAGCTAAAGTGGGGCCACCTCAACAAGGGTCTTCCATCCGAAATGGAAAAGTACAGATGACCATATTTCTAAACCTGGGTCACCAATTTGGTTTAAAAAAGGAATAGTGTAGCCATGCATATTTCAAATCAAGTTACAAAATGTTCAAGAAACTTAATTTATATCTGTGTTAAAAGACAGCTAGATTCAACACATAGATCTTATTTTTTTATCTATACTAGTATGTATTATATCTAATTTGAAAAGAACTTTAACATTTTCATGGATATATAGTTTTTAAAAGAAATGCTGTTACATGTAAATTAACTACAAATGACCGATCACAAAATTCAGATCACATACAAAGCAGATCAAAGTTGCTTAATCCTATTGATATAAACTGTATCATGGTAAAAACTCTCAACCAAACTTGTTAAAAGCTGTTATATTTGATAATATATTTCAGTTAACAGATTGTAATGTAATATATAAAACAAAACCAATGAAATTTAGCGGGTCTCGTCAAACATATTTTTGGCAGAGGACAATTGAGTTAGATTTTAAGTATATACAGGCAACACTGCAGCAATTTTGCTATTTCGAAATGAATTTAGTGAGTGTTTTGGTGTCTTTGGTTGGAAGCATTTATGTAACTGATATTTTAAAGAAGAGGTGTTTCAGGCATTATGTGTTCTGTGGCACAAATTCAATGGGGAATCATATGCTCATTATACTTGTTTCCTTCAAATTTAATCAATACTGAATGGTAATAACTAAGGAAAAAACAATAACAAGCTTTATTTGTATCCATATTATTTTTAGATAAAACTTAAGACCCATTGGTGGCCTTGGGCTGTTTTCTGCTCTTTGGTTGGGTTGTTATCTCGTTGACGCATTCCCCGTTTTCATTCTCAATTCTATGTATATACAAAATTTATGTTTAATTATTTTTTGGCTTCTGTTTTACTTATTTTCATTTTGACTTTTCTTTTACTCCTTTTTTTTTTGAAAAGGGGAGGGGGAGGGGGTAAATAATGTATTTTTCAACAATTTTTACATAACCTGCATCATTCGAAAGTATTCCATGGTTGAGTAAACAATTTACTTATACTTTACTCTTACTATTGCATAACACTTTTCATTAAGTTCCGTTAATTCAAGTATAGAAAAACCTGCACAGTACCTCAAACTGTTATTATAATCAAAGGGAATTAACCCTAAGCAGGTATTTCATGAAGTTCGTTTCCAACGAGCGAATCTTTGGTAAAACTATTCGTGCAAGTAAATATGAACTCGAATCTAGTATCTGATAAATTGACAACAAGGGATCGTGACTAATGCAACCATTACCTTCGTCAGTGTGAATTTGTTGCACAAGTAGATCTATGCACATACAGATGTGAAAAGTCATCTTACGTTACGGCGCTTTTGTGGTTCTTTTTATGCTGAACGATGCCAACTTTGGCGCACTGGCGCCTCGCCAATTCTCAACACATTTACATAAACTAGATATTGTTGTAAAGATAATATTTTGTAGACTTTGAGGAGCGATGGATCCTTGAAAAATATTTCAAAATGCGGTATCTTTTCGGTGAAAAAATCTAAAATTTGTTGATTTTCTTCAAAATTAGACACCTTATTGACGAAATTGGTTTGAGATACATACAGAATTTTACTGTTCTCAACTTCTGGATGATGCATTCAAAATTTTGATGTCTGTTTACATTTCTATGAATAGCGCGAGGTGGGACAGGATATTAAATTGTGCATATGATAGCGAAAAATAAACGTTGTGGATAATATTACCGACTTTCACATTGTTGTGAAATAAATTTACAAAAGGTAAAGCCTACAACTTTTAGCATAGTTCGAAGAACTGAAATTCAAGTTTCCTGTGATATTTCATTTTTAAGTGACATTGAATGAAAAAGGTTTTTTTTTTGTAATTTTTACCAACGTCGATAACACCAAATATAAATAAAGTTTTTTTACGTGACGTTCCCACAGAGTCCCTAATATATATGTATGTGACTACTTCTCTGAGTTGTTTATATCAATGGTTTATAATTTAAAAAAAAAAAAAATAAATATTGTTCACTTCGAACATTTTTATTCAATTATTACAGATTTATGATAATACGCTTTTCAAATTAAAGCTACGGACGGTAGTTATCGTGTCCGGCTTACAGTCCTTGGGTGGTGTAAACTTCCCACTAACACCATACACCATTACACCATTCACCATACACCATTACACCATACCCCCTGTGCCATTACACTATACGCGTTACACCTTTGCACCATACACCTTACACATTACACCATAATGCAATTTAATTTCAAAGAAAGCGTGCGACTACAAAATTATTTATTTATTTAAAAAAACGAATTTGATC